ATTCAAGTGGGTGACCAAACCCGAGGATGTCTTGTAGGCTCTCAACACCCCATCCGCGAGCACCATCATGCTTTAATTTGGGCGGAGGGAGAGCCCAGGTCAGCAAGGATGGCTGTGGAGAGATTTGACGTTGCCCTTTGCTGATGCCACTGATCACTGTAGAGGACCAGGAAGGCGTGAAAGCTCTCCGAGGCAGTCCACACAGCGTAAAGAGGTGGCCTGACCTGCCTGCTTCGGAGCAGGAGCCATGGGTAGGCGCGGTCATTTCAGGCCTGGAGTGGCTGACTGGGGCCACCAGCACCCCTGGGTCCCTGCCTTGTCTGCAGCACCCAAGGGTCCTTGTGTCCCCAAGGTCCGCTGGGTGGCATAAACGGTTTTGGGCCAGCCTGGCTTAGACACAGGAGCTGCTGGCCCTTCAGGTACCACCCCAGGGGCACCCGTACCAGGGACAGCAGCATCACGGGGCGCCTCCCCAGGCAGTCGGAGACGGCCCCCGTGAGCGGTGCCCAGAGGAACTGCAGGGCTGAGAAGATTGAGCCAATCAGACCTGAAGGAGACAGAAGTCAGGGTCACACCTCAGTCTCTGTCCCAAGGGTCTGCTCACCTGGCCCGGCACTCCCAGGCCATGGACCTCAAAGCCAAGGTGGCTATGACAGAGTGGACACAGGGAGCAGATGGGGCCCAGGAGTAAGGAGGACCTGGATGATGGGAGGTCGGGGAGGGAAGACGGGGGTGGGGGGGGCAGGAAGATAGGACCAGGGGCTCCCAGCATGGGGCTCAGGGCCACACCTCCGAACAGGACGCTGTTGTATCTCTTCTCTGCAGGCACACCGATGGCTGCAGCAAACCAGTCCACCCCTCGCTGCCAGGAGCCATAGAGAGGGTCCTGGGGGACAGGAAGCATGAGAGCCGGGTGAGTGGGCACCCACCTGGGGGTCAGGCTTGGGGGTGGAGGGGTGAGGAGGGCTCACATGTGCACGGCCGTGGCTCTCCAGCAGCCCGGGCAGCAGGGGCAGCAGCAGAGTGAAGGCCAGGAGGTCCAGCAGGAGGCCCAGGAAGACCACAGTGACCACGCGGGTCTCGGACGCCGGCTGCTGGCGGATGGGTGGGTGCGGAGTGCAGCTCCCACCAGCTCCCCAGCCCATGATGGGGGCGCTCCGATCCTTCCTGGCCGGTGGGGGAGGGGGGCGGGTCTGCACAGCACCTCTGGTTACGGCAGCCCAGACGCCTACCCTACCGAGGGGGAAACTGAGTCCTCCTGCTCCTGTCAGGCCCCCAACACCCTAGTGAGCACCCTAAAGGGAGTGCCTGCCCACCCTGCTGGGGGGCGCCCATCACCACAGACGGGGTCCCTGGTGCGCCCTCCCCAGACCCCGGGATGCAGCAAACTCGGCAGCGGAGGTTGCGCAAGGAAACCGCAGCCACCGAGGCCAACCGTCCCAAGGGGCCGGGGTGGGGGCATCGCGGGCCCGGGCGGCACCCCGTCCCACGCAGCCGCCCCCGCGTCCTCGTGTGGAGCAGGAAGGGAAACTGAGGCCCGGAGGAGGGCGGGACCTCTGTGGCCCCGGGCGGACTCGGGGAGGGGTCCCTGCGCCCGGAGAACACAGCCCCCGCCCGCACCGACCCCGCCCCGGGCTCACCTCCTGGGGCTCCGGGGACCCCGCCGGCACCTGCCGCGGCCGCGCGCCGGGAACGAGCAGACGAACCGACGGACCGCTGGCCAGAGGGATGCGGAAAGGACCGCCAGGCACGCTGCTGGGGCGGGGCGGGCGCGGGCCCCGCCCACTAGACACGCCCCGGAAGTGACGGGCCGCCGCTCTTCTCCTTCCGGCGGCGCGGTCCGGGCGGCAGTCGGTCTCTAACTCCGAGTGGCCTCCGCCCGCCTCCCGCGTTCCGGCTGCTGGCGGTCCGGGCGCTCCGCTGCGGGCGGCGACCCCTGACCCCTGGCCCCGCCGGCGCCGACTCCGGCCGCGGGGCTCTCCCCGCAGGGCCCACGCTGGTCGCGGCCCGAGTCCTTGCCCGGCGCTGGCTGGCGGGGCTGGTTCCCAGCCGCGCGCCGCCAGCCACGGTCCCATCTGCCCCCACCCGCTGCCCGAGGGCGACCCTCTCCCCTCAAGGCCGGGGCTCTGGGTCCTTGGCCTGCGGGGCCGTCTCCACGGACATCGCCAGGACCCTGGGTGTGACCGCCTGGTTCTAGGTGGAACAGTACCTCCTGCACCGTGCGCGGAGATGTCATTTATGAGCGCCACCAGGAGAGGAGGAAAGGGACACGCACATCTACGGCGGGGTACCGACCTCCTCCCTGCTCCCGTTGAAGGCGGGACCCGAGCCTCACCAGCAGAGATGGGAGTGCATAGTCCTTTTGTGATTGCTGCTTCGTTGAATGGACGCCCCCTGACCGGGGGAAGTCAGAAGTCACTTGGGCCCAGACGAAACTCACAGCCAAGAAAATAAAGCTTGATTTTAAATC